CCCAGTGAACGCTTCGTGTGGTGTAATGTCTCCATCTATCGCACGAGTTGGAACCCGGTTCAATATGTGCGCCGAATATAGGATCGCATCTCCCCAATATGTGTTTGGCAGTCCGGCGTCTCGTAGCAAGCTGCGTGCCATTTCAACTAAGGTCCGATTCATCCGCTCTGCGACACCGTTCTCTTGTGGTGTGTATGCGTTTGTTTTCTCGTGATGGATGCCTTTTGACTCGAGATAGGATACAAATTGTTTTGATCCATATTCCCCCCCACCATCACTACGAAAATAGTTGGGGCGTTCTCCAGTCTCGGTCTCTGCACGTTCAAAGTATCCTTTGGTGAGTGCGAATGTTTCATCCTTGGTCTTCACAAGTTTAACCACGAGATGGTGTGAATAGGCATCTATGAATGTAACGAAGTATCGGAAGCCGGCGCGCGACACTGTTTCCATGGGTCCGCATACATCAGAGTATGTGCGATACAGGACTCCTGGGCTTTCGACATTTGATTTCGTTGGGATTGGGTTGCGGTGTTGCTTGCCTTCAAGGCAAGGCTGACACACTGCCTTATTGTGAGTACTTGAACCCTTTATGTTGATCCCATTGACCATATCTTTCGAAATTAACTTAGATATGGAGTCGAAATTTACGTGCCCAAGTCGTCGATGCCATGTGTCCAGAGTTGCACTCGAATGGAGCATGCGCGAGGTGAGAGCTGTTATGGGGACATCTGGATCGAGTGGAGCTGATGGTCCTTGCAGAATGTATGCATGTGCTTTCTCGCAGGGCTTTACTCGAAGGACGTATAGCGAGTTTCGCTTATGTGTGAGAGCGACGGTCTTTCCCTTTGCAAGGATCTTGCATTGGGAACCATCAAAGGTGACTTCGAGACCTTGTTTCGTGAGGCGGGGAACTGACAGAAGGTTCGCATTCAGGTCTGGTATGTGATAGACTTCCTGCAGGATGGAGTGGATGTACTCATTTTCACCAACATAGACGTTTATTTCAGCACGTCCGATACCTATCGCATCTATCGAGCGTCCATCTCCGATGATTACTTTTCCGGGTGGGTTCAGTGTGCGATATTTGATGAAAATTTCCCGCTGACACGTCATGTTTGCAGATGCGCCAGAGTCCACTATCCAATCATCTTTGGATGCGGATGTAGAGTGCCCATGTGCCATGAATAATTGGAGCGGTGTGTCATGGTCCGACGAAATGCGTGCGACCTTCGCAGATAGGTCCGTTTTTCCTTTGTCTTTGTCCACCTGCTTCCCACTCTTTTCAGCGTCTTCAGCAGCTTTCTTCTTTCGACAGTCCTTCTCCTCATGTCCAGGAATGTGGCAGTATGTGCACTTTTCCTTTGACTTCTTCTTGTCCTTATCCTTGCGCTTAGGCTTATTCTTTTGCGCAGGTCCCTTCGCAACGAGCGCAGATTGGCTATTGCTAGCCTGTCGTTGCCTTTCCTCTATCAGCACTTGGGCTATAACAGTTTCGGTGGTGAGTTTGTCACTACTGGACATTAGGATCGTTCGAAGGGTGGCATAGGATGAAGGTAAGGATATCACCATCACAACTGCGACCAGTGAATCGTCGAGCGGCTGACCAAGCGAGGACAGTATGAATGCCTTCTGTTGCATGGTGTTTAGCTGCGTTTCCATAGGAGATTCATCCGTCAAGGTACTTCGAAACAATTCGCCAATGAGTTGAGCAATTGTTTGCTTTCCTCTACCCTCGTATCGCTCACAGAGCTTCTTCCAGGCATCTTTAGCTATTGGCACATAGAGTATCCCATTCAAGGGATCATCTTTCAGCGTGAGAGCTATCTGAGCTCGTGCTTCCTTGTTCCTTGCTAACCATTCCTGGTGTTGAACAGGGTGCGTTGTGCTATCTGGCATCTTTTCACTTCCTTCAACAATTCCCCATAGTCCTCGAAGGTCAAGGATTAACTCGACACGGTACTTCCATAGTTGGAAGTTTGAACCGTCGTTTTCGAGGGATGGAATATCATATAGACGATTTGAGGCTTGTGCAGTTCTGCTTGTAGATGTAGAACTGGATGATATGGAAGGGATGTTCGAGGATGAAGCAGCTGCACCTGACTGGGCTGCAGACACTGAGGGTGTGTTCGACATTTAATTCTTGTTTCGGTTGATGTTCCTTTGTGGTACTGGATTGATTCTAAGCACCAGGGCTCATAACCTTTTGTTCGAGGATGCGACGGACGAAAGAATGACAGAAAGAATTCTATAAACGAAAGTAGTAAGTACTCAGTCTCAATAGTCGAAGACTTGGAGACTACTAGCTGACCTATAAACGAAAGTAGTAAGTACTAGAGTAGTAGTCAGTATCGTAGTAAAGAGTCTAAATAAATAATATCATACCTCAGTCTCAATAGTCGAAGACTGAGGTGCTAAGTAATATAAAACTTCTAATGAGCGCATAGCGTATTATGTAAGCGAGTGTTGTTTGTTGTTGTCCGAATCAAAGTTATCACTTATCTATAATCTTTCAACAGATCGAAAAGATCACACAAGATGGAGATGGTCTCGCTTTTAGTGGTGCCGAAGTCCGGTTCGGTTCGGTTCTTAGGCCTCTAAATGCGAACGCCGAACTGGACCATCGGTCGCGTTCAGGCAAGGAGGGCGAACGCTGGACCGGACCCTTATGAACGCGTTCACAAGCGTTCGGTTCAAGTTCAGAACGCGTTCGAACGCTCGAACGCTACATATAATTTGACAAAAATTGCAAGAAATACATGAACCGTAAATGAGTAGCTAAATTTCGTCCATGGCATAGTGTTCGTGAGCAGCAGCAAACTCAGCTTGAACCGTTGCAGAAATGTGGCCTTGACGGTACCCACTCTTCAATAACTGAAGGGCCTCGAATGTTGTTGGCAACAAACGATTACGGCGCGCAGTCCCAGTGATGCCGCCACTCGAAAAGGCTCGTTCAGATGCAACGGCAGAGCCTTGAATAGCGAGGTAATCCTTTGCAATGCGTGAGATGGTGGGATATTGAACGGAATGGTGCTAAAGGCATAATGAGTCAACTTGCAAGGAAATGCGATGCGAAAAAACTCACACCCCACCACGCCACTATATTCTCAACATCCTCTAATGGGGCAGCAAGGTAGTCGTCAAGCTCCTGGCGAGGTCTTCGATTTGCGGTGTCATTTGCGACACGAGTTTTGACAGCATCGCGCATCCAGCTATGGCCGTATGACCCATGGCGAGCAAGCGAGGCAGGAGCTGCAATAGACGGCTCTGCAGCAGCGGGCGAGGAGTTGTGATGATAATATTTGTCAAAAACCTTCCGCAAGCTTCTCATGCCCTCGTCGAAGTCGTGAGGCTCCCATTTACCCTTCGCATATGCCACCTTATAGTTAGGATCAAGCGCTACATTGTGCATTAGATAGGGCATCATAGTAAATAAAACACATACCGAGGCAAACAAAATAAACATCAGTTTCGTCAATCTTGTGGTACCATTTGCGAATATTGTCGAGGCCAGAGTTGATTGCGGATGAAAAGTCGTCAAACTTCGAAGAACTAGCCATGTTTTGCCAAGTTTGTTGGAGATACTCGAGGACTGGAATTGCGCGCCATACAGTAGGTTCACGAGTCGCCGAAAACGATTGTTGTGCATTGGCAGGTTCCTGGTTATACAGTAGGTTAATACAACATTTGAGACTCGACTGGACACTCGCACATACCTGAAGCACGTCGTGCATCAATTCCAACTTCTTCCATTCTTCGGCTGAAAGCTTGAATGCTCCATATGACTTGCCCTGCAAGTTTGGGACTTCGTCACTGTCATCCGCCAGTTGTATGAATCTATTCACCCCCTGCGGCAGATCAAATTGAGTTAGTATTGGGCATAGGGATAGAAACCAACTTACTTTGCGTAGCTTAAGGGTGCGCTCCAACATACCAAAGAGTGAGGCCCATCGCGTGCGAATCCATTTCAAAAGCTCAAGCTTCGGCTCATTGACCTCGACACAACACTGTTGAAAAAAAGTGCGTGCTTGGGGAGATTTCCGAATCTGCGTAACAAGTGCGAGGGCTTTTCCTGCGGTGTCGGCAACCTCGAAATCAGTCGTTTCATCATCGTCATCTTCATCGGCCATGTTCTTGAGGAGCACGCTTGCTGGTGTGGGTGCGACCTCCTCGACAAAGTGTTTCGCAGCTAAGTGCAAGGCGTGCTCCATACAGCTGAATAGTCGTGTTGCCAGCATCGCGGATTTTTTCTGTCGGTTTAACAGCTCGGCCTGAGCGAGACACAAAGGCAGTTAGCTTGCCATTGGATGCAGGAGGTGGAGGTGGAGGAAGCATGGGCGTGTCATCGTCAGGATCATTGTACCAATCGATGGCACTAGCATCCTTGAGTTGGCCGTCAGATCCAAGTGCGCACGACATTTGTGCAGCAAGGAGGGTGAAGATTGAACCTGTAGTAAGTAGCTCATTTATTCCAAATTTTATGATAAGAGATCAAAAAAATGACGCACCTTGAACATCCTGTTGCCATGCAATTACTTGGTGTTGAAGCTTGAAGTACCAGAACGAGAAACCTGAGAATATGTTCTGAAAATAAAGACCATTGAAGTCTGAATAAAGATTAACATTTGTTTAACATTAGGCTTACCAGAACATCGAGTAGATTACCAGGGAAGTCAGATCTCGCCAATGGAAATGTGTTGGGTGTTTTGGCTGCGAAGTCCGATCCGCTATTGATTGTCCCGAGATCGATCGACATGCCGGTTGCCAGAAGATCAGAGCAGATATATTGGTGGATCATGCAAAGAATATGAGAACACGTTCAGACGGGTTCGAACGGGTTCGAACGGGTTCACAGTATTCAGGCAGCAGCCGAACGCTGAACTTAATAATCAGTTCGGTCCTTATACTATTTCGAACCCAGGACCGAACCCACGGTCCGGTCCGGGAGGGTTCAGGTCCGAACCGAAGTTCAGAACCGGACTGCGGCATCACTACTCGCTTTCATGCACGTTTATAGCTTCGATCAAGTAAGTTTTCGTTCGTGTGTGTTGTCGGGGGCAGCTCAATCTTTTCAGAACGGACAGGTCGAAATCAAAGCTAAATTCCAGAATGCGTTCATCATGTGCAACGTTATCCGTTTTGTTTGGCAGGGGTTGCACCAAGAGTTCCTCGGCGAGACTGAGGAACAGCAAATCGAAAATCTGAAGTTCATGTGGGCACTCGCCGGCGCAGCGACGTTCTGCAGCCTCGACGAACAGTTCGAAGTCCAGGTGAAAGTGGATAGTTTTGGAGGAATGGGATCCAATCGCAAGTTCCTATATATCCTCAGTGCGATGAACAACCTTTCCGGGGACGAGCGAGTACAGTTTCACAACTTTTTGCGGTACGTGTTAGTGATTGGACCATCGCAGGCACCCTCGTAGATTCTATCAGATAGTAGTTTTCGATTGTACTAGTAATACTGGATAACGCATTTATTGTACTGATAATCTCACATCGCATTGATAATCTTCAAATCCCACATCTAAATGTGTGAAACTTGGCTCAGGGTTCAAACATAACCAAAACCAGGTATTTACGAACGAAATCTAGTAGATTTCGTGCTAACCAAAACGGCAACTCTCGCGAGAGTCTTACAAGAGTTTCAAACTATATTTCCACCGAGTCGGTTTTTTAGATGTAGGATACCCAGCACCTCGTTTTCGGTTCAAGTTTCGTGGGACCCTTTCAGCAGCGCTGTCAATGTATTCGCTAGCGATGTCTGGACCCAGGATAATGGCCCATTTTCTCGCTGGCAAGTTCATGCACGTCCTGCTCAGTCCGAAAGTTCTCCATTACTTCCTGCGTGTTCTCTTCAACACCAGAACTGCCGTTTCCCATAGCTTATTGTGGTTCACCGTGCGCCTGGTGTCAGTTATGAACCATTCAATAGTATGTGGGATCCTTCATTTACAACGCACAAAATTATCTATCTAACTGACACTGACTCCTCTTCTTCATGGGACCCTTACAGTTCACCAATTGATAGTCATGATGGTGCCTGTGGTAATATATGGTACAATCTTCGTATTATCCGGATCCGGATCCGCGAGAGCTAGAAGTCGACCGAGTATTTCATCTTCCCAGTCTCCCAGCATCAGCAGGTTCAATTTGGACGAAAGACGAATCGAAAGAAGCCGAGAATCTCCGAGCTTGATACGGCATGACCACAAAAACACCGACGTACGACACAAAGTATATCCGCAAACGATACATGTTATCACTTCGCTATGACTGTGAAACTTTACTCCCTTCGGAAGCAGCAACACGTTTCAGGAGAAGTTGTTGGTAGTTCTCCCATGTAGTAATGAGCTACGACAGTATTGAGGTCTCCATTGAAGGCGTCATATTACAGCACATACCTCTTTCTGTCTCGATATCATCCCGTCAAGGAAAGATTGCAAAGATATCTTGAAATCATCCACGCGCTCCTGCTCAAATCTTGCCATTTCAGATTTGATCAGCTTTGAGCACTGATCAAATTCGTGCTTGGCATCCAGAGCTCGACGTTCAGCCTGACCAACCGTAAGAATGTGCATGTCAAAAAAATGAAACGATCACACCTCTGATATTTGGCTAACGGTGTGGCTCATCCGATCCGTGGGGAGACGACCTTGAGCTCGAAGTCGTTCATGATTTTGTTTGACACGGCGGACGTCAGAATCAGCATTTTGCCATGCAGTGTACGTTCGCGTGCGAGAGTTGAAGGCCATCTGGAAAACAGAGTCAGGTGGAACGACGTATGAAGGACGTCGAGTGACCTACACGGACAGAGCTGATCAACCTTGAATATTCGTCCGCTCCAGACCAATTAATTAGTGCTAGAAAGGTAAAACAGTAGACTTACCGGTAGCTAAAAGGGTCATTATGTCCTGTTGCGACTGAATGGTCTGGACCTCCTCAGCCTTCCGCTGGACATCAGCCATGGCAGCCAAGAATTGCTCCAGTTGCTTTCCAATGTCTGAGAGTGACAGATCAGTGATCGCAGTGGCGAACTCCCCAGTTGCAGCAGCCAATTCTGCAAGGCAATCAAACAATGTACCGGCAACATATCGAAAGACAAAGACGCACCGGCTCGTTGCTTCGCAACAATTTCTATCGACTTTACTAAACCACGCAGCTGTGATTCGAGACCATCCAGATATGCACGCTGTCTATCGAACCACTGCGGGAATGCAAACTCAACATGCGTCGTGGTGAACAGGCCTCGTGACGAACCTCATCAGTTTCATGAAACCGCGGACCCGTCAAGGTTTGGCCAATAGATGCCATGAGTCCTCCCCTTTCGTGCGAAAGCTCGGCTTTCCTGTGTTTGATCTGTATATCGCTCAAGCCAAGGAAACTTAAGCAGCAGGACCGTATAACGCACGTCTAAAGAGAAAGTGTCACTTTCGAGGAAAAGCTTGAGGTCAGGGTCCTTTGCCAGCACTGGGTGATTGACAATCTTTTGGATACATTTCTCGAGAGCCAGTCGTCGCTGTTGTACAAATGTCTCATCGAAACGCCCAAATGGACTTTTCTCTGGTACAGGAGGGACAATGACACCCGGATTGTTGGCCGAAAGTGTTTCGTATAACCATAGGAAGTCTGAATACCGACGTAGCACAGAAAATGTCGACTTCTGGAAAAGCGGAGAGGTTGTCTAAGAAGTTCATTGAGTGATATTATCAGCAGCACGAAACAAAAGCAGCTCACTCGTGTGTGCACGGTATACATGGTGAACGCCCGAATGGGATCACCCACGCGCTGAGGATCATCGACCGAAATGACGAAGATAGGAGCTGATGAATCGCTTCTGCTCCCAGTAGAAGCGGGTGAAGTTGCTAACTGCTGCGCAATAGATACAGCAGTTCATGATCCATTGGGCAGACACCCACCTGTGGAGAGTTAATCCTGTCTATGCCCTTGAATTTAGCCGATTGGCCAATCGGCTTGTCGTCATCGTCTTCCTCATCGGCTGTAGTGTTTGCGACAGGCAAATGAACAGGTGGCAATGGATCATTCGTTCCCCAGTCAGACTGCCAACCTCGATGAGATTCCGCTTCCAATGCAACGCTTGCAAAGGTTTGATCGACTACTGGAGAGAAACTCCGCTCCAGTGGCGAGATAACAGCACGCTCTGGACTGTCGAAACGTGTGATAATTTTGGTAGAAGGAATAGTTGTAGTAAGGGATGGGGATGACTCCTGGTGAGGAGGTGTTACTGCCCCGACTGGCTCATCATCATGAGGAACGGGCGATTCTGATATAGGTTCGGAGACGGAAGTTGTTGCATGCTCTTCTGCGCTAGATGCATATGTGCTGAAGCCAGGTGTACGTGGGGAAGCAACGTCTGTCGGCGCTGTACTGTGTTCATCATCATGGTCCTCAGCAGTCACTGCAGCCGCATCTAGTGGGTCAGCTGCAATCAGGCTGTTCTGATCGCTGTGCCCGTGGTCGCCTGTTACGTATGACGCAGTCGTAGGCGTTGCACTAGTACTGCGTACTGGTTCATCCTCGAAGCCGGTCTTGTAGTAGTCGATATCATGATGCGTTGGCCCTGGCCCAGTATGGGAGAAACTAGACCATGGGTCTGGCGAAGAAGAACGTTTAGCAAATGGGTCTTCGAATGGATTTTCTTCGAGGACGTTCCGAGAGGGTGCGAGAAGATCATCAAAACTGTCCATGGAATGAAATGTGAAGGACTGAATATGGGTGGTGGGCCTTGGAGTTTGAGCACATATAGTAGTTGATCAAATTTTAGCGCGCTAAAACGAGTACCCAAGCATGTAATCACACAAAGTCTACTACATACAGTGACAAGATATATCCACGTCATAAGTGTCGACTACTCATATGGCATCTCCTCAACAGCATTTCCAAGAGATACCCAATCAGCAAGCACACTGCTGACGAAAGCTTGCTCATCATGAGCCAGATGCTGCACTAACTGGCTGAGCAAAGCATTCTCCTTATTATGCAGCACCACACGAAGCTCATGCCACATCCTAGAGAGCGTCAACAACCACAAAAAATGGCAGATGGCAGTCGTAAAACACTCACGAAGCACGAATAAACACTCTTCGGTTCAAGAGTGTAGCGATCGTCGCTTGGTCTTTCTCTATCAAACCAATAATTCGATCGGCGTCATCCTGCCAGCCGTCCTTCAAAGCAGCCTTTATACCTTCGAGTTTCATCGAATTCGAGTCAACTCGTTTCTTCAACCGGTCGACGTTATCGACCGAGAGACGGTCACGGCGGATGAACAGATCTCGCATCGCAATATACAGATCCCTTTGACTCTGCGCCATTGAAAATAAACGCATCAACAACCAGCTGGCGATTCGCTTACCTTCAGCGCTTCCAATGTCGAGTAGAGCAATGCATTCGTCTGAAGTGAAGTGTTCAATAAGCAAAACTAGATAGAGCAATACACTGACTCGTTGTTCCAGTAAATCAGATTGCCGTTGTGTATGGGAAGCAACGTGTGCAATCCCTTGTCGCACGCCATCACACAATTCGCACTCATCCCCCCTCCAACATCGTTCGTTCACTTCAACGACGGCCCTCAGCGCATTGGTCAGCCGCGCCAAGTCTGCCTGATCATCCGAATCAAGGTCGTCAGAAGGTGCAGTGCGCGAGGACAACATTGACAAAGAAGCAGCCAACGACGTTGTTGACGAAGCGGGTCCAGGTATATGATCATGGTTATGGTCATCCAAAGAAGGATGATGGGGGGAGAGGAAAGGGAAAGTGAAGTGAGCTGGTAAATAGGTGCGCCTGAGACTTGGAAGGATCCGTACCGCAGCTGATTCGCGTCTCTTTATTATGCGTTCTGCCAATACGCATATTCTCTGCCACTGCTCTATTAATGGACCGACCTTCCCCCGCACGAAACTTCAAAACTCTTCAGTGGACGGTTGAGATAATGAATATGTCGCACATACGCCAGTTTGTCTTCGAGGTCACTCGGGACGGTGATTTCTTCTATCCTGTCAACATGTTTGCTAACGGATTCTTCTTCCAGAGATACGGCGGTGTGCTTTCGCCAGTTCTCGAAGGATGGTTCCGAAAGGAACGTCGCAAGGAGACCGTCCTCCTTGATCACTGGATGGTTTCTGAACGACCTTCAATCAAGTATACCAGATGAGAGTGGTAGTCACATACATCACAGCGTTCAGAAACCTCGCAAGACCTTTCCTGTTACAAACATTTCAGATGTCCTGACTAGCAAGCACCATGTTTCCACACCTTCGTTGCTCAATAAACGCAGCGTCGGCTTCGATACACATGAGTCAAACCAAAGATAACAAAACACAGAGCTTACGCTGCACACGCTTGGGCGGAAGGGCAGGTAACAGACGGAAAGGGTATCGCCGCACCAAGCAGTCCCATAAAAACGCAAACTCTGAATACCGGCGATGAACAGGTGCGCCGTGCTAGGCACCATATAACATTAGTGTGTTGGGAAGGGATAAATGAGTGTCCTCTCACTTCAGTATTAATCTCGTACACCGTATACCGATTCAGGATGAATCCCTGCTGCCCTTGGATAGTCACATCCACAGTTTCTTGTGTCTTCCACCACTCCCTCGGCAACCCCGACCCCGCCAAACTTGATGCAGCTCCGCCATTGATCGTCGTTGCACTGCGAGGGGCAGCAAAGTCAGACCCTCCCCCATTGCTCCCAAATCGCGATATGCTCCACGGGTCCAGAGTGGCCTGCCTGTAGGTTGGGTAGGGAGAAGAGAGAGCCGAGGTGCTCGGTTGTAAGGTATCGAGGTGGAGAAATGGTTCGGGTAAACTGTTTTCTGCAGCACGGGCTGCGACTTGTTCCACGCTGGTGTCTACCCGAGCCCACTTATATATTAATGTAATTTATGGTTGAATAAACGAATCTCGCACCTTTGCCGGACTGGGCAAGGGCTAATAATGCAAGAGCCACGAAGAATTCTAGCTTGGACACCCTTGATCGAGAGCTTACGAGGTTCACGATCTGATATAGGATGAGCACCATTTGTCCCACCGCTAACTGCGTCACTCACTTTTTCTACCGTCGTTGCAGGCAATCCAGACGTCGACAAAACACGAGACAGTGCATTTACGGATGTCTCTCCAGAGTTTGTTGTATCTACGACGGCAAATGCCCTGTAATATGAATCTGGGACAGTCGCTTCCGCTGTCCAACCATCACTAGTCAGACGCAGCCAGAAAATTTGTTTCAATTCGCACCTAATACCGAGCTAAGAGAAGATGTCACACTCGGTATGGGTTGCGGGGAAGGCGATGGCGCAGCGCTCCACGGATCGTCATAAATTGAGGCAGCCAGCGGGTTCTCGTCGACGAAACTACCTCCAAGACCGTTGACAGGCGCGGAAGCATATCGCTGGGCTGGCCGCGGTGCGTTGAACATCTTGGCTGCGGCAAATTGTAGGTGATGGTAATGCGGACTCAACAGTTCAGTGTAGAAATGAATGAACTAAGAATCTCAAGCGGCCAAACAAGGCTGCCGCATGTTTGCAGCACCAATATCTATCAACTGCTGGGCCAATAATCTTGTAATGATTGAAATTTCCAACCCGTCCAGGCAGAAGCCTAACTACGATCCACGCACGTACTACATCTAACATATTCACAAGCAACTCGCCAGCACGGGCGGCATCCACGAGCAGTCAGAGGACAAAAGCTATCGACTAACGCCTTATCTCCTTTTGTCGGTCAGAGCCCGCAAATTTCAGCCATAGAGCAATCGAATGTCCAAATGGATTATCATCTACTTTGTACAAAATCCCGTCGTGTGTCACGCCATTCAATTATCCCTAGCTCTGTCTCACGATACTTCAGCGGTCTCCTTTGCTGCGAAGTGTAACGTCCACGATGACAACAAGCGCTTCGCGTTGACAGTCTCTCCATCAAGCCTGAATGGCATATCAGTGACGCTCGGTTGCAAGAACTCAAATCACCACTTACCCAGGCGTACCATATGTTAATGGTGCCATGTATACGAACATCAAAAACAAGATGAATGTGAATACGCCCACCACCACAGGCCCTTTCATACCAAGATCAGCGTACTCCGATTTGCGCAATTTCGTCCAGCGTCCTACGATACTAATCGGGTAATTGACCGTATCCGAAAGGATGAAGCTAAGAACAGAGCCGGCAAGGAGTGCAGAAGCAAGATGCGATGGGAGGTAGTGGTGGATGAAAAGCTGTCGACTCATAAGGAAGAAGGGAAGGTAGTGTATGGCCCAGATCAGAAGGAAGAATCCAGCGGAGTTCCATAGGCGGCCACGGGCAGCTAAACCAAAAGTCAATTCATCATTCCCTTAGAACAAGTGTCACCTACCGTCAGGAATGGGTTCAATGCCACGACGACGGGCAAGCAGGTCAGCACCCATGATACCAACATAGATGGACAGTGCGATGACGCACGTCCACCAGCCAACGATGTTACCAATAAGATATATCTGTTTTTGAGCGTCATTTTCTGTCCAGAAACTGATCCCGCTGATGAGGAAAGGCCAGTTGATCGGACCGCTAGCATAGGGGTGTGATGAAGTGAGTCCCGCATTGTGCTGGAGCATCAACAACTGCAGCTCGGCAAACTTCCGGAAGAAGCTGATTTTCTTAGGTTCCTTCGGAACTTGTTCGCCAGAGAGACCTTCGGGACCTAATTTAAAGGGTCAATATAACCAAATACGCCTCGTGAAAAATCTACTAACTTTCGGTCGAGATTACCTGGTCAACGAACCAAGTAGCGCTCTTCTCTGTGGGGTTCTTGTTACCGTTGATCTCTTGTTGCTTGAAAGCCCATTCTGGCAACTGTTTAGAATGGGTCCACATGGACACCCTGGTGGGACCATGAACAAGCCTGAAGTAGCTCGATTTGCTCTTCCATGGATCCTCAGAGTCGGCGTCAATAATGTTCAAGTAGAACAAAGTATCATTGTGTCGTGAGTGATCATCCTTGGGCCATGTAGTGAATTCCTGGTTTGTTGGCATAAGCGGGGAAGCGACGTCGTGCGTGAGTAAGAGTGTTTGTGTGCTGATGTGCAAAAGTTGGATGACATCATCGTGGCGGACAATGCGACCACGGCCGGCCTCGGGAAGGGCTTTTGTGGGGATGATCTGCCAGTGGTTATTGGTATCATCATGTCCATAACCGGTGACCTGTTGTCCTTGACTACTGATGCGACCATCGTCGTACTGCAAAGGGTAGTGGTCGGGATGCGAATGCAAGTAAACCTTTGTATCCTTGTGTTTCATAGTGACAACGTCGAAGTAACGGAGCTCTGCAAACACTACATTTAGTTGAAAGGAAAACTGGATGCAGGTTGCCCCATGCCTTGGCTATTCATCAACAGTTCATTGCCAATGAGAGTCTCTTGGAATGCGGGGCTCATGAAAGAGTCACCAGTTCCGGAACGCGTAAGAACGGCGAAATGCACGTAGAAGAATGATAGGTAGATGATGAAGGGGACGACGATCAGGCCTACTGCTCTTGCCATGAAGTGCTTCCAGAAATGTTCCTTAAGATAGCGGTAAGCGACATACGCAAGACAACGGGGAGATGAAGCCTACCATTGTAAAACCCTTCTTATGGTCCAATATATCCCACAGGTCAACTAAAACAGCGATGCCAATAGCGGCTACAGTCAGGATACCGTTTACTTTCGCGCCCCAGGTGCAAGCCATAAAAAAGCCAGTAGCGATCAACCAGCTCCACCATTCAACAGTGAATTCCCTAGCATAGAGAATG